ATGAGCGGGATCCCGGATACGGAATCTGATGACAAAATTTGAACTCATCGACCCGTTCAGGATGCTGCATCCAGACAAAAAAGCTTTCTCCCGGATCAGAAAGAACCAAGCCAATCGGACTTCATTGTCCATGATTGACTACTTCCAAATCTCTGAGAGCCTACAAGGCACAATTAAAGAAGCTGAGATCCTTCCCTCAGCCGCCTTCAAAGGACTGGACCACAAACCCATTCAACTGTTGCTCAACTTCAACTCACCAGTCGAAACAGGACGGTTTTTTTTTAGGCTGAACAACTCCCTCCTAACGACCGAAAGGCTGTCCACAGCTGTCAAAGAAAGTTGGTCCATCCAAAAACAGCGAAAATTCAGACAGACAAACCGGCACCAATGGTTCATCAACAGTTACGAAGACCTAACCCGAACAGTACCATCAGAATCACGGGGCATAGCGGGGGATCGCAAGAGGAGAAGGGAAGAACTCCAATTCGCCATCTCAGTGGCAGAAGCCAACCTCGCAGAGGACCCCTCCAGCGAGCTCTATCATGATCTACTATCTGACACTAAAGAGGAACTAAACGAATGGAGAAAATGGGATCTGAGAGGACTGCAAATACGCGCGAGGATGACAGACTACTCACTCAACGAAACCATGACTAAATTCTTCTTCTCCAGAATCAAAGCCAATGCCAGGAACAACACGATAGAGGGCCTCAAAGACCCAACAGATCAAGGGAACATCAAAACAGCAGGGACAGAGCTGGTCAGGATAGCCAGGACATATTACGCAGACCTATACAAGTCGAAGACGCCTTCACCCCCGACCATTGCGAACCTAACAGCCCGCCAACACATGCTATCGTACCTAGATAAAACGATCTCAACAGCGCAAGCAGAAGGCTTGGACAGACCCCTAACCCTGGCTGAGCTACACGTAGCCCTAACCCAAATGGGAAATGACAAAGCTCCGGGCATAGACGGCCTCTCGAAGGAATTTTGGAGCCACTTTTGGCCCACTCTAGGTGAGGACCTGCTCGACTTCTTCAAGGACAGCAGGCTAAAGGGAGGCCTAGGCCAAAAACTAAGCACCGGTGTGGTATCACTGCTGCACAAGAAGGGAGACAAGGAAGACCTAAAGAACTATAGACCCATATCACTACTCACCACTCCCTACAAAATCCTCGCTAAGGCTCTTGCAAACAGAATCACGAATCTGACAAACAAATGCTTTCACATTGACCAAGCAGGCTTCATACCTGGCCAATACATACTAGACAATGTGATGACACTGAACGAGGCAGCAAAGAAGATCACAAAAAAACGAATGAAAGCAGCAATCCTGTTCTTTGACTTTGAAAAAGCGTACGATCAGGTCAACTGGGACTTCCTGCACGCCTGCATGGAGAAAATGGGGTTAGGCCCCAATTTCCGAGAATGGGTTAGAGTCCTCTATTCAGACGCAACAGGCAGAGTGCAGGTCAATAGGATTATGTCAGAGACCTACCCGATCTCAAGATCGGTTAGACAAGGCGACCCATTGGCTCCCCCCATTTTCCTCTTCATCATGGAAGCCATAGCCTCCTTTCTCCGGAAAGACCCATCCATCGACCGCCTCACCGAACGCAACTTCAACCYTCTACACGACTTCACCTTACCCACTGCGCTAATGTTCGYCGACGACCTCACTGTCCTCATCCGCGCCAACAACTGCTCATTCCAAGCCCTTGTAAGAGCAATGGAAGCCTTCAGATTAGCATCAGAAATGAAGGTAAACTGGGGCAAAACCGAAGGATGGTGGCTAGCAGAGGGGACCCCACCCCAACCGACTGACACAACCACACCCATGTCATGGTCTACAGGAGATCAGGCACTAAGATTCCTCGATATCATGGTAAACAAGAACGGGGTGTGGCCAGGCATGGGCCGGAGCCTTGTCTCTAGGGCAATCTCCCGCATGGTCCCTTGCAAAAACGCTCAGGCCTCGCTAATCGGGAGAGCATTACTAATTAACACGGCAATCTTCTCCACACTGTGGTACATGGCATCCATATGGTGCCCCCTGATGACGACCTCAAAACGCTAAAGAACAGAGCTAGATGCTATCTATGGACTGGAGACCCCAATAGGACCACGTGCATCAACAGGGTAGCCTGGAACCACATCATCAGGAAACCGCAGGAGGGTGGTCTTGGGTTAATTGATCCCAAACAGGAATCAATAGCACTGCAGATGAAATGGGTTATCAAGATCCTGATCAGACAGTCCCTTCCTTGGACCCAGATGGCTCTAGACAGCATCAGAAACCTGGCGCCCATCAACTCCCCCCTGAACATGAGAGGTCTCTACTGGCGCATGGCGAAGGACTGGGCAATCAAATCAGGCAGACCTCGAAGGAGAAACCTGGCGGAGCCCATCACAATTCCCACTCAAACAGCCATCTCATATTGGAGTCCAGTCATCAAAGCCTGGCGGAGACTGATGCCAAGTAAACACGGTTCACCAGGAAACAAAGAAGAGGTCCTGAGACAATCTCTCTTCTGCAACCCTTGGATCACCGACCCTAGCGGAGTCACGTGGACACTACGCGCAAAGGACCGAAGTTGGCTATCCTGGGTGGAAAAAGGTGTGTGGCAGGTAAAACACATCTGGGTAGAGGACCAAGGACGATGGGTCACCGAACAGGAACTACGAAATGTCCTAAAAGGCTGTCACTCCCTCGCTGAGAACCTAGCGACGATCCAGAAGAGTATTCCATCACAATGGCTCTCCCTCCTAAGGGAGGACTTTTTGTGGAAAACTGGGGATTGGGGCATACTCATCTCCCAAACCCAGCCTACCAGAGCATATCGATTCGTCTCTCGAACCAACCCACTCAGCTACCTATCTAAGTTCTACTCATACCCCATCGCTAATCACAACCTAGAAGAGCTGGAAATCCAGAACAAAGATCCCCAGTGCGACACACAAGAAACCTTCCGACTGAGAAAAGTTAGGGTCTCAAAGGCCAAACCCTGGAAAATCTTCCAAACTAACCTAAGCATTTGTGACCTCGAATTCGACCCGAAAGAGTGGGTATGGAAGCAGGGCAAATCCGGGAGAACAAGAACGATATTTGAATATGATGTCAAATTCGGGTATGAGTTGGGTCTACAAACCACAGATCCGGACCCCAGACTCAAAGGAAAGTGGAGGGAGATCCTGAATCTGGACCCCACAGACCCCATTTCCATCCCATGGACGAAGTACCTGTCCATCAGACCGGTTAGGATTCGAAGCATGCAATGGCTCTTAGCGCACACATCGCTGCCGGTCAATCAATGGCTCCACAAGAGGAGGAAACATACGGACCCTGACAGCTCTKAACTATGCAGGCTATGCACAGCCAACAGCCCGGARGATATACCCCACTGCCTCCTGTACTGCACGGAAGCAGCATGGATATGGAACAAGGTGCACGATCTATGGTCCCTCCTCTTCTCATCACCCCCCCCGCCCACACCYCCCCTGAACATCCTGCTCCTATCCAACAATACTAACAATCTCAAGGGCGGCAAAGAAGTCTGGTTTCACCTGCTCAGGAAGCTGGCCCTATGGGTAATTTGGAAAAGGAGATGTACCAAGACTATTGAAGGTACCGAGGTGGCAAGAGAAGAAATGTGGGTTCTACTACTGGGAATGGCTGAAACGGAGATTCAATCCAGATGGCGGGAGGCGATATCAACAACGAAGGTCAGACCAGAAAGGATAGCCGTAAAGAGACGGATCTTCACGAGAAACTGGCTTGTACAGGGAAAGATAGCAACTGTGTCAGACAACAGATTGATTTGGAAGAAGTGGCACAGCCCACCTCCAACACGGACGGTAACCCAGTGAGGGGCAAACTGAGATGATAATCTCAACAGGATAGACAACTCTCCTCTGTTCTTGCTTTATACGAATCATCTGACAGAGTCACAATAGATTGTGAGAGGAAAAGGGGTAGGGCAAGCTGACAGTCAATCCTCCGGATATGGAGCAATCAATGCTGGTCAGGGTTCCTTCGGCCAGACGGAAGGAAGCGTGAGAGTGTTCACCATGTATTCCATTGTTTGACTTGCCGGTGGAGAGGAACCGGACTGACGCTCCCCAGAATGGATATGGAGCCAGGACCATAAGAACCTGTTTAAAAAAAGAAGAAGAAGAAGAAGAAGAAGAATACTGCTCTCAGGTCAAACGTGGGTTCCCAGAGAAAGGGACACCAAACGTGATTTGTCAGTAAATCGTACTAAAAATTGTAAAATGTTTTTTTTTTTTGTCAGTAAAATGTTTCTAGGAGATTAAAAAAACAAAAAATCAAGAAGCAATTGCTCAGAGAAGATGACTGTTTCACTGTTTCCCAGCAAGGAACCAGAGCGGCGGGGCCCCGAACAGAAGGGGTCTTAATACCGTCTTCTGTATAAGAGTTGTAAAGGCATTTGGACACGAAGACTGCACGGAACGTTCCGCCGCCCGTACACGACTTCCAGCCCAGACAACGTTGCACACACCTGTCCAGAACATCCGGACAAAATCAGAAGAGGCCAGGAGTCATCACCGGTTTGCTTATTTTGTGCAAAATTGGGTCCCAAATGAGAGCTCGTTTCCAAAGGGGTTAAAACTTAAAAGGGGTATAAATGGGGTCAATGAGGGCATAAATAGCACGAGGTTTGAGAGTTACAACTTCAAAGGGGTGTGAAAAACGTTCAAGAAAGTCTCGAGATTTTTATTTTTTAATTAGTATTATCTTTTCTTAAACCATGCACTTGCTGAGGAAGTATGAGGTACCCCTTTTTTTTTTTTCCGAACCAGCATTATATTCTTTCCATCTTTCTGACAAATCGGTTTTGTGCACCCTGATACTCAGGTCATCCTGTTCCCGATTTGCTGCCCAGGCCAGAGGTCTGGATCTGGATCCAGCCAACCAACCTGGCATTCACACAATCTATTTCTGGAGAGCATGGGAGGAGAAGAGAATAGAGAACAACCTTCGCCTCCCACTGCCATCATAGCAGCCCATGCTGAAGCTACGAGCCCTCCAGGTCTGCTGCCAGGAATTGTCATCGACGCGTAGAGCCCTCCACTCCAGGTGGAAACTGCACAGAGCGATCCAATATTCCAAACCAGCACATAGGAACCGTCCTGTCAATCTCCTTTCCTAGAGAAAGGTACATGCATTGTTATCACATCTTGTTGCCTAACAGCCAAGAAGGACAGACGAGCGGAAAGAAAAAAAAAAAACAGCAGAAAAATGAATGATCGATGCCATACGTGCGTGCTGATTGGAGGGCAGATGATACTGGCCCAACACCGACCTCATGCAGCAACCATTTTAAGACTGGTTATGATCCGGCCGTCTGCATCTGGATGTCCGGGGCAACCTCCGGTCCGGCAGGTCCGGATTTTTTATTTTTTTTTGGTTGTTCAAGGCCCCTTTCAGAAAGCCAAAGAGGGCCAGGCTGTGACTGATTCTGATTGTGTGTGTGTGTGTGTGTGTGTGTGTGTGTGTGTGTGTGTGTGTGTGTGTGTGTGTGTG